ATAGAAAAATATCCTCGGGTGAGATTAAAAAAAATGCTATCAAAGTATCAAAATCAGTTTCATAAATCTCTACATCGCATTAAGGGTGATGACCCAATTCACTGATGGAAGAGAAACAGTATGTGCAGCACAGTGTGGAGCGAGGGATGACGTAGGCAGAGAACCCAAGAGGTTGCCTGCAGAAGCCAAGGGACAGGCGACCAGCCCACAGACAGGAGCCACTGCAGGGCTGCTCCACACATACTTTATCATCTTATTGTTTGGACGTTAACTTCCACAGTCTCCTGCTCTGTGAAAGCTTAAGCAACACTTGCATGTGAGCTCAAACAGTAACCTAAGTCTTGGCTGAGCATTTGCAAAGGAAGATTTGTTTGATCAAGGATTTCTTAAATGTATGGCTATTTTAATGTTTAAGGAAAATGCCTATAAAATAGCCTTTATCACTTGGAAAGCTAAAATAAGACAAATGCTACCACCATAGCTCACATATGACTTGCTTAATAGGGAAGAAAGTTGGATATAAAATAAAAATGCACACTTTACAAACAAAACAATTTGAAGACATTTATAAGGAATTCATTTTCAATTAACCACACATTTTTTATCTGATGACTGATTTTTACTTTATGATGTTAATAAAGTCGAAAATGTAGATATTATATAATTGCATTAACTTTTGTTCTTTGTAATTGCTACAAATTATGTTTCAGAGCCCACATTCAAAAATTTCAACAGCTTTCATCTTCAGGATGTGAACAGCTGGAGATGAAAGTCAGACACATCATTTTCAGCAAGAGAAGCCAGAGCCATAATTGCAGTTATTGTTTCCATTATGTGCTGTAAATAGTTTCCTGCCTATAAAATGACTTCTGACTTTTAATTCTAAAGCCATGGGTACCTATTTAAGTGATACATGTAACAGCTTATCCCCATGCAGAAACAAATATTAATAGTTCACTTTAAAAATGAACCTTAGTTCAGTTACTAGCCAGAAAGAGGAGCTGCACTAATGGATAAGAAAGCTTATCCTGGTATAAATAAGCATATAAGGAAGTAGAGTGAATCTCCAGGATTCTAGAACAATGCTTTGTAGTATCCTAACGGCCCTAAAGAACAATGGCATCTGTTCCAATTCAAATCATGCTCATGGGTGACTAATTCATGGCTGGTGTGTATTCTCCTTGATTCTAAACATAACACTCATCGGGAATTAGGTTCATATGTTTTTTGGTATATTTATACTATAATGATTACACCATAGTGCAAAATTAAAACACGGGTCAAAACCCACCACTACAGCACTAATATGACTCTAACTTGAAGAGAACGTCAAGCTTTCTATCACACTTGCTTACTGTTGAGCTTTCTCTTATGTGGAAGAAATTTTGAAAATGAACCGCCCCCCCCCCCCACATCCTGGTTACATAATTACTATGGAGATTCAGTGTGAGGGCTCTTGCAGAAAGATGCCTCCTTTATGGGAATGGGTAACATGTTTGCTGCTCTTTAAGCTACTAACTAAAGGCTTTTTGGAAAACAAGGATGTAAACAGTGTATGTCAACATAATTCTACACAAACATAATAGGAAGGCTGAAATGTTAATACTCTATTTGTGGAACGAATAAAATTAAGAGAAAAATCATATACTTTTTTGAAAAGTTTGAGTTTAGAAGAATTTGAGTTTGGAATTCTAAAAGGTTACAACTATACTCATCATCTACTTGCAGGGATGGGGATCTAGATTATCATCTAATGTTCAAACTATTGTTTTCAGACACAAATCATCCCTTTAAATTTTATAAAATTCAATCTATATAACATGGTTCTTCTAGTGCTGGAAAAGTATGGAAACTTCAAATATTATGAAATTTCAAACTCCAGAAAATTTCCAGAAGCCATTTAGTATACACAGTAGAAAAATAATGCTATCATACACCAGCTGTCTTAGATATTCTAAATATCTAGATAAGAGGAAAAACAGGTACAAATTCTTGATGCTTTCAGTTGGGTGTTGAGATTCTAAGACATACAATTTATGTCCACAGAAAAGTTGGTTATGAAAAGAAAGAAGGCATAGTTGTCAGAGAGTTCAAACGGGGGATCCAGATTTAAGAACATGTTCAAAATTAATACAAATGGTTAATTAGAGGCAAACATGACACTATTTACCCAGCAGGTTAGGTCACTGCCATAAACCCACTAAAAATGCTTTTCTGTAGTCTACTGATTATTGTATTAATGGAAAGTAAAGGGAAGAGATATTAAAAAAACCTTTGTAACCAACTTTGCTGGAGCGCCCCAGTGTACACTGTATCTAAACTGAACTTGGGATAAATAAGGAAATGCTTTCAGCAAACATGTGTTTATGTTCCCATGTTGTAGGACTGTTGATGAAGACAGTATCTGTTGGTTTGAACAGGACCAGAAGTGGTTTCATCTGTGAAGGTGCTGCCTGAGGCAGGCTGCGCTTTGCTCAGACTGGCCAGATCTCTAGTACATGTGCAAAATTGAGAGCAGTGTGTTTTACTGATGAGCAACAATGGCTTTATTCAACAAAGGAGCTCTTAGGTAGGTCAAACCCGTGATTATATTCAACCAAAAATGTGTGACCATGACTTTAATTAATGACTTGGCTTACTAGCTGCTTCTGACTTAGAGAAATTGGGGTAAGTGTGCTCTCTTTATCTGCAGCAGCAACTGCGTACACTACAGTTAGCATTTCTCAGTTACTTTTTTTGTCTTTACAGAAAGTGACAGTGAAAGAAAGAAACACACATGTGCGCCCACATATTAAAGTCAAGAGAATCGATGACTATCCTGTGTCCACCAGATCACACATTCATTACGCAATCAGCTGCCAATACCTGGTTCTTAAGATTATGAAGCCGGGGTTCTTGGGTAGTTACCCCAGGAAGTCACTTGAAAGAACTGGGTATGAGCTCAATTCCTCACTGGATCCTAGTTAAAAATTTAATTTGTGGGGGACAATTTTGAATTGTTTTGTCTTGAAAACTTCTCAAGTATATATTTTTAAAAGGGTGGAGGAAGGTATAGGGGAAATAAATGGTGATGGACAAAGACCTGACTTGGGGTGGTGAACACACAATACAGTGTACAGATGATGTGTTGTGTATTTGTGCATCTGAAACCTGTATAATTTGTCAATCAGTGTCACCCCAATAAATTCAATAAAAAGGAAAAAAAAAAGGGTCTCATAGGACAATTTCATTTGTAGCAAAATCCAAAACAAGAAAATTAAGAACATTAGAGTCATGGATGGAATTGAAGACCATCAATCAAAGTGAATTGTAAACTGTAACATTCTATGAAAAGTGAAAAGCAGGTAATAATTGAAAGATCTGCATCAGCTTAAAGGCTAATTCCAATAAACCAGGTTCTAATTTCACCCCCAAAAGAAAGGTCTAGCATCTATCAACACAAGCTGTTAATAATCAGATGGGAAATACATGAAGATACACCTTGTCCCATGAAGCACATAACCAAAACAATGAATTATGTGAACAGTGTGAGGCATTAAAGCAAGATAAACCTAATTTAATAAATATTAGCTGAGCATTTGCTATATGTCAGGGTCAAGGACAGAACTCTTTGGGCGAGCTAGCATTTAGGGCAGTAATTCTCAGTGTTGGCTGCACGTTGGAATACACTGGGAACCTTAAAAAATATTGATGCCTGGGTCTCAGCCCAAGAGATCTGATTTAACTGGTGTGAGACAGGGTCTGAGCACTGGAATTTTACCAAGATCCCCAAGTGATTCTAACATGCAGCCAGGGTTGAGAACCATTGGTGCAGGGGATGGTGCAGGAAGAGTAAAGGAAGAAACCACAAAGAGAAAAAGAAACAAAAAGATGGTGTTAGAAATGCCAAAGGAGGGGTTTTTCAGAAATAGGAAACTGTCAACAGGGTTGAAAATTACAGAGACTAATAATGTGGTGAGGAAAACGTTTCTGATACTAACGACTGAGGAGATTAGGAAGGGCCTTTCCATGGAGTGGGGGAGGTCAGAGTCAGATGCTGTGGGCTCAATGTACCATGTAGGGAAGAAATCTATACAATGTAATGGATATTGACTATGCTTTCAAGGAGCTGGGCTGTGAAGGAAGAGAGAAGGCTTGCAGATGAAAGCTGGGCAAACAGATTAAAATCTTAAATTTATATCTTTTTATTTTGTTTTTTTTTTTTGCTTAAGAAATGTCAAAATCTAAACATTTTCTTTTGTGATCGCTGTTTTCAAAATGCAATTTCAAAGTTAGTGCTCAATAAGCCTAAATATTTTGAATCGAAAGAGGTCCATGCATCTCTAATTTATCTAAAATTTAAATAAAAACATTAGTTGTAATCTGTAAACATAAGACAATTTAATATTATTTAAAGGAGACAAATGACATACTGAATATAACTATTTCTTTTAGACTTGATAAAATATTTAAAATAGTCTTAATACTACAGTTTTGCCAAATGCAATTCAAGTAAATCTCTGATTTTTCTCTAAGGGAGAATATTTTTGAAGCTGAATCATTAATTACACATCGTACCTTGACAAAATTACTGTTTTATGGCATTTGCTTCAAACCCATTATCTTGTGTTCTGTTGCTTAGTTACTAGAATTCTGAAGTTCAATGCATTTTAGATGGATATTTAAATTTCAAACAGAATTTTAGCCATGCAGTCTACAGAAAGAGAAACAGTTGGATACAAAGGAAACTTCTTTGTTTGCAAGGGTTAAGCTTGCTAAATTTTGGAGAAGGGTGCATTGATTTTCTGTGGAGGATGTTCAACACCACATAGCAAACTAAATTTTGGGTTTAGATTTGTTTTTAACTATGGGAATGAAGAAAAAAAATCTTTTGTCTTTAATAAATGTTTAAAGGTTTAAAAATGTTTAAAGCTTTAAATCTAAGATTTAGATCATGCTTCGTTAGTACAATTCTACATATAACAGACACATGTGTGCATCTTTATAGTACATCGACTTACCTGTTCCCATGCAAATACATGTTGATTGAAATAATACTGAATTTGTTCATTTGCAATGTTAATGCAAAGCTGCTCAAAGGAATTTTTTTTGAAATTTTCAAAGCCAAATATATCCAGAATGCCAATGCTTAGTTCATCACCATTTCCACTGGAAAATGAGAGAGACATTGTTTTGAATTCTCATTTACTTTCTTAAGAGGTATGTAAATCAAGTTATCTCAGAGATGTTTCTGTGCTTTAGTTAAGAAACTACTACCAGCATACACAAATAAAGCGAAAAATTTTAATTGAAAAAGTTTCCCTACATAGAACTTAAAGATAAATTAGATACCATCGATTTTAATATAAAAATGGTCACTATTTTTCTTGTACTACAGAAACCACTCCTATGCTATTTTATATATTTAAACAAAAGAAACGTTTTCCCTCTGGGTTTATGAGCATAAGATCACAGCCCTGAGTGAGGCATAATTGGGGAAAACCTGGCTAGCATTCGGAACATGGCAAAAATATATTCGGTAAAAACTATACCAAAAAACCACAAATTCTGTGAAAGAGCATATTTAGTCTTTAATTTTACCCAACAATTAAAACATCTTGCTAAAAATATTCCAATTATTTTCAAGAATCCTAATGTATTGTTGGGTTATTCACTCATAATTTTTAAATATAGAACAAATGGTAACCTGAAGAATAGTGTAAATATATATGCATTTATTTTATAATTAAATGTTTCAAAATACAATTAAATACTCTTTTGCAATTACACATTACAAATGCATTTTTTTCCCTGCTCCTCCAAAATGGCTACCTCTGCTCACTAAAGATTAGATACTTGGTCAAAAGTCTGCTCTATCCCCAAGAAATAGATACATTCCCAAGTTATTTTCATGTGAATTTAAAAAGGAAAGAACAAACATTTGTCTTGTGGGCACCATTTATGTAATCTAGGTTTCTCTTAGTGTTGCATAAGACAGGGATTTGGAAATGACAGCCAGCAATTAACTGCATGCTGCGAACTGGAGGGTACACTTTGTGTTGGGAGGAATTGACTGGATTTAGAATGGGGAGTTACAGAATATTCTGAACGTGTGATGGGATTGACAAAAGGAAAGCTATCAAATATTTCTGCAAGCTCCCATTTGCAACAGTGAGTATACTTTTATGTGGTTATATGTGGTAAAATGTCTAGTTAAAATTTATGCTGGTTTACTCAAAATGATTATTCTTTTACCATCTCTGTTCCACAGGATTTCACTGAGCTAAATAACTACCATGTATAATAATATGTTAGATCCAGACAGATAGCATACAATTTAGCAGAGAAGTAAAGAAGCAAGATATGATCTAGTCCAGGGATTCTTTTTTTTTCCTTACTCTTAATTTTGAGACATTTAAAAAAATTAAAGTATAGTTGACATACAATATATTACTTTCAGGTGTACAACATAGTGATTTGACGTTTATATACCTTATCGTGTGATCACCACGATATCTAGGAATCGTCTGTCACCATACAAAGTCACTATGATATTATTGCACATGTTCCCTGTGCTGTACTTTACTTCCCTGTGGCTTATTTAGTTTTTAACTGCAAGTTATTCCCCTTCACCTTTTCACCCATTCCCTGAACTCCCTCCCAACTTGCAACCATCAGTTTGTTCCCTGTACTTGTGAGTCTGTTTCTGTTTTTCAGTTTCTTTGTTTGTTTGTTTTTTTTGTTCAGAGATTCTTTTTTTTTTTTTTTCCTCACCTGAGGATATTTTTTTCCATATTTGTTCAGATAGAGCAGGAGGGAGAGAGAGAAAGAGAGAGAGAGAGAGAGAGAGAGAAACATCGATGTGAAAGGTACACATCGAGTGGCTGTCACCCACATGACCCAACCAGGGCCAGGGACAAACCACAACCAAGGTACGTGCCTTTAGCGGGAACCAAACCCGGGTCTCTCTGGACCACAGGCCGATGCTCTAACCACTGAGAAAAACCGGCCAGGGCTAGTTCAGAGATTCTTAAACTGAGATCTGTGAATGACTTTAAAGGGGTCCGGAATCACAATGGTGGGTGTGTATAAATATATCCAGTCTTGATTTCAGAGTGAAGGACATAATTGTTAAGAGGCTCTGAAAAGGCTCCAAGACACCCACCAATAATTAAGACCACTGACTGTCCTTCCCCAGGGCCTTATTTAACAGCTGAGGAGGAAGAGATGCCAAGAAATGCAGTAACATGTTCCAGGTCACACAAGAAGTTGGTGGCAAAGCCTGCCATAACACATGCTCTCCAAAACCTCAGTGAAAATCTTGATAGACTGAACTAAACTATTTCAATGGTCTTGTTTACTTTCTGTAAAAAATGAAAAAGTCTAAGAGTTGGACAGTTTTCATTAATGTATGGGAAGGCAAGTTGCCATCTGGCAGACAGGCTGCAGTGGGATTTTCAACAGATCACCGTTTAGAAGTCATACCCTTCTGGGCACCATTTAGTGCCAAACGTGCAGATCGTAACGAACAATGTGAGGTTAAATCTCTGAATATCAAGCATAGTCTGTGGAATACACAAATATTGAAAAATTTTTAAATTTTTCCTTTTTTATCTGAGAGCTTGGCATCATGTAGATAGATGACCACACATGAACATAGAAAACTATTTGACCATTAAATTGTAATGGATGCCCTGGCCGGTTTTGCTCAGTGGTTAGAGCGTTGGCCGATGGACCAAAGAGTCGTGGGTTTGATTCCAGTCAAGGGCACGTACCTTGATTCCAGCCCACTGGGGTCATGCTGGAGGCAACCAATCAAAGTGACTCTCTCACATCGATGTTTCTCTCTCTCCCCCTCCCACTGTATCTGAAGATAAATGGAAACATATCCTCAGTTGAGGATTAAAAAAAACATTATAGTGGGCAAATTGGATTATGATTAGCAGATCCAGTCAGATAGATTACAGTTTAGCAGGGAGGTAAAGAAGCAATTTTGAGGGTAATTTTGACTGGATCATATTATGGTGCAATGTGTATTTTAGTGAAAAAAAAAACAACAACAATAAATTGCATGTCAAATGTACATAATATGGTCTTTTATATTTAATAAACAAGTGCGAATGAGGTGATCTTAAGGCAGGCATTCATTTTCTTTATTCATTTTCAAATTTCTAAAGGTTGTATAATTTATGGCAGAACAAAACTTAGATGTAAGTGAAAGGACACACCTATGCACAAGCCCTGGCACAGAGTCAATGATGGCTGCGATTACCTTTACTTCTAAGATGAGGTAACAAACAGGGTGTAGACTATGATTGACATCACTGTAATTAGCTAGTTATTAATAATAGAAAAGAAGCAAAGTAAAACCAGACATTATAGGCATTTGGGCAGCTTCACCAAGAAGCTGAAATTTCACACTCCCCAGGGAACCACCAACCTATTCCCTGTAAAGCTCTGGGGGAAGGGGTACAACAAAGGGGAGATGGGTACATGTGCAGTAAAGTTGGGGTGACCTAGGGAAGGTGCTGATCAGTCAAATCTGGAAGCAGAGATCATTGGCCAGAGTGTGTGGAGCCACTGCAAACCCACAAAAAAATGGGGAATACATAATCTCCCAAACAAATGGGTTTGCTCTCTTGTGTCTCTCATGGCATGTTGGGCTCTGTTGTTCCTACTTCCTTGCATTTGCCTGTGTTTCCTCTAAGCTATGTGGGCCTGCAGGCCCCACAAGCAATGGACTAATGGACTGCAGTTGGGAACACAAACTAAGCTATCCTGATGCTGGATTGGACTGTTCCAACATGGAATGGACATTCTGGACACTGGCTCTGATTCTAGCTCTGCTAAAGCTGAAGGTACACCTCTTCCTTGGTGGGGCAAGGGGAAATGGACCTTGGAAACTCAGGATTTAATTCCATGCGAATAAAAATCATTTTCCTGTGCAAATCTCAGAAAATTATTTTTCTTGGGATATTGCAAGAAGCTCTCTCCCACTAGCAACCAGTGGGACAAGGACTTCTCCCCACCAATAACATGATTACATAACATTGTTCATATCCTGGATCTTCAAATTACTAGTTGTTTAGAGAATATCTGAATCAAATTTCATTGACTGCCATAATACCTACCTTTCCAGGATTATAGTGAGAGTTAAAATATGAAAAAAAGTTTTTCTTTGCCTTCAGGATTTAATTCAAAACCTCAAAACAAAAACAAAAAACTGCTGAATAGACATTTTATACAAATATAAAATGGTATACACTTCATAGTACACCTTCTAATTAAAAGAAATAAGTTGGTAGTAAGATGTCACGTTAAAAATCCACTTTTTATTATATTCATTCATGTTGCTGGCACAATGAAATGGTAATAGTAGGAAATAAAGCAGATCCACTGAAATATGACTTTGATAAATGAAATGATACTAATTAGTAACATTTTCAAAGGGACTCCAGTATAAGTCAATAAATTGCAAAATAGATTTATATCACCTGACATTTGGCAAAAAATGTGTCCATGAAACTTTTTACCTTGGAGATGTGTCATGCTTCAACAAGCTGTTAATGCGATTAACTATCCAACTAAAGAGACGGCCATATAAAGTTTTAGCCATAGCATCTCTGACATCAGTAGCTTTTTCTACAGTATTGGGTCGTATAATGGTTTCTCCTCTAGTGACCACACAGTGGGAGGTGAGAGCTTCTTGTAGCTCATCTGCCTGAATGCAAAGTAAAGAAGCAGCTAAAAAATAAACAGATGTGTGGTTAGAAGAAATTATGGCAATGAAGAGATTTCCCAGATAAAGAAAATGTCTTAATATATCTTCTTCAAATAACATGAAATAAATATGACAAAGATTTTATGATGTAAAAATAAGTTACTGTTCAATAGTAGTCCTATGTCTCTTCCTGATAGTTTTTCTCTGTATCTCTTGACTGGTCAAATGTAGGCTGCTATAAAACAGCACAGCCTGAACTAACTGGCTCACAGAGTGAAATGTCTGCACAGGCAAGTGGTTGGTTGTTTATAAGATGCCAAACGCAATTTCACTGAATTATGTTAAATCATTTCAAAACATAAAGAATAGACTTAATATAAATTTGGATACCATTATAACAAAAATTTTCAAAATGTAGAAATTAATTGGAAGTTACCTAGATATAAGGGATACACCCTAATAAATGTATTTTATGTACCTTCTGCAATATACATCCTAAGAACATAAACCTATCTTGACATTCATATACCTTCTATTATACTACCTCTCAGTTACATATTTAAATTAGTAAATTTTGTTAAAACTTGATGCCTGAAAAAACATTTATCATGGGAGTTTTAAATTAATAATATTTGCCCTGGCCAGTTTGGCTCAGTGAAACGTTGACCTGTGGACCAGAGAGTCCTGGGTTCAGTTCCAAAAAAATAAAAAATAAAAAAATAAAATTAATACTATTTAACCTCAGTGAACAAAATTTAGTTATTAAAAATAAGCATCTTGCACTGGCCGTGTGGCTCAGTTGGTCTCTCTCTCTCTCTCTCTCTCTCTCTCTCTCTCTCTCTCTCTCCCACTCTCCCCTTTCCTCTCTCTCTCAAATCAATAAACATATCCTCAGGTGAGGGTAAAAACAAATAAATAAATAAAATAAACATTGTTAACTCAAACTATTACATGACAGATAGCCTAAGTTTTCACATCAGCTGTTCTTTTAAGATATTTTGAACATAATGAATTTACTTTTAGCATTTAGAACAAGATGCTTTTTAGTTACTTGGCAAAGATTTCTGGGCCTTATTTAAACAAAATATTTTTTTTTTCACATTCTAGAAAGAGTGCAGGCTCATATCATAAATTTCACGTTTGAAGTTAACGTTCTACAATTCTTTCCTTCTAGGCATTTTATTGTCATTATTCTGCACATACATTTTATCTTAATATAGTATATTAAGAACTTTCCATTTTGTTAAATATTGTTTATAATTATAATTTAAGTAGCATAATATTTTGACATCATAATACATCAATAATTTTTAAATTGTTGGATGTTTATATTGCTTCCATGTGTTCATAATTGTAAAGAATTTTGGGACAAATATTTTGGGTATGAATTTGTGCTCTTGTTTTGCATTATTTTCTTAGCATAGATTTCCTAAATTCAGCAATCGGTTCAAAGTACATATTCAAACTTTTGATATATACTATTTAGCTATTCTTCAAAAACTCTGAATCAATTACACTCATATGAGCCAAATAAAAACCCAGTATTTCAACACAATTTGATGGACACCAGAGATTATTTTTTAAAACGGCCAATTTGCTAGGAAAAAAATGTCTCTTTCAATTTGTTTTTAATTGATTCCTACTAAAGCTGAATACTTTGTTCTTTTTCATAATTTTGTGGTTCTATTTTATAAACTGCCTTTTTTTTTCATTGCTATGTTCATATTTTTCTGATCTATTTATGAGAGCTCCTTATAGCATAGAGAATGTTTTGATATATATTTCAAATATTTCCCATCAATTTTTATTTGCATTGCAATATCACTTGTTTTTTTTTTGTTTTGTATGAAAGAGTTTTAATTTTTATGTACTAAAATATCCATTTTAAAATGTTTTTGTATTTTGCACAGGAAGTTCTTGGAGTATTTTCTCACTTCAGGATTAAATTAATGTATTTTGTCTTGTACTTTCATGCTTTTTTGCCCTCACACTTAAGTTGTTACATGTTTGGCATTCATTTTGGTACACGGTGTAAGAAAAGGATTCAAATACCCACTCCCCCAAAATGGTTGGTTAGTTGGTGGTCCCTCAACATAATTAGTGATTTGTAATGCCATCTCTGGTAATTCTACTTGGATTTGTTTCTGAACAGCATCTCTCCTTGATTGGTATGTCTATTTATATCCCATATTATTCATTCATTTGTCATATATTCATTAGGTATTCGCTACATGCCAGGTATACTGTTAAGTATAATACCTTGTAAAATAAAGTTCTAGTCTGAATGGTCTTCATCCAGGAGAAATGGAAGCTAATCAAGAAATTTAAGAGGGAGGATAGAAGGAGGAAGAGAGGAACAGGGAGGAGGCCAGATGAGAGGGGAAGGGAGAGGGAAGGTCCAGGGACAGGGAGAGGAAGAGGGAGACTGAGAGAGCCCACTGACAGATGCATTAAGGAGTTTCTGAATAAACTGTGAAGAACGGACTGGAAAAGTTCAAAAACTGACGTAGAATGAACAACTGAGAGGTCATTAGGTGAGAGAGGATATTGTCTTGGATGACAATGGTGATGATAGAGAGAAAGAGAAGTGGTCAGATTTGATAAATATTTATGAAAAAGAATGGATAGAACTGGTGCCTAAATGAAGCATTGTACTTGTAAAATCACCTGGAAACATGGCTTTGGTTTAAAGTCCCTGTAACTTTAATTATAAATAATTTTAATGTAAATTAATACATTTTCTATTTTCCATAGCAGCTATCCCAGAAAGTGTTTTAGTTAATTTTAACTATATCTGTATTCATTTTAACCTTTCATGACCTGTATGACTCTCTTGCTATAATTGAGAAATAGGTTCTCAATCATAAAAACCAGTTTTAGTTTGTTTCTAAGCATATTCATATCTACAAATAAGTATTGTAACTCATTACGTTGACTAATGACAATTCTAATTATGATCAGATAGTGAGATTTTAATCCTGTCATTGGAGTTTTCTGGTCCTTACACTTCTGATAAGCTAATGTTTTATGTGCTAATAAAGTTTTTTATATAAGAAATATCAGAACAGATTTTTAGTTTGATGTAGTCCCATTTGGTTATTACTTCCTTTGTTTCTCTTGCCCTAGAAGATGTATCTGGATCTCACTTATATACGGAATATAATGAACATAACAGTCTGAGGAATACGGTAGACCCAGAAACATGGAAGTAGGGCACAGACTGACATCCCTCAGAAGAGGGTGTGGGGGGGTGGGAAGAGATAAACCACAGAACTTATATGCATGTATGCATGACCAGTGGACATGGACAACTAAGCCGGGGATGGGGCGGGGCTGGGGTGGGGGGTGCCAATGGGGTAAAAAAGGTGAAATATCTGTAACAAAAAAATAAATAAAAAATTAAAAAAAAAAGAAGATGTATCTGTGAAAATTCTGCTGCATGAGATGTCTAAGATTTTGTTGTCTATGTTTTAAGGTTTCACTAAAGAAACCATCACCAAAATGCAAAGAGAACCCACTGTATGGGAGAACATATTTACCAATGATACATCGGATAAGAGGTTAATTTCCAAAATATATAAAGAAGTCATAAAACTCAACAAAAGGAAGACAAACAATCCATTGAAAACCTGGGCAAAGAGCCCTGGCCAGTTTGGCTCAGCAGTGAGAGCATCAGCCCATAGATCAGAGAGTCCCAGATTTGGTTCCCGCTAAGGGCACGTACCTCAGTTGCGGTTTGTCCCCGGCCCCGGTTGGGGTTGTGTGGGTGGCAACCACTTGATGTGTCTCTCTCACATAGATGTTTCTCTTTCTCTCCCCCCCATTTTTCCCTCCTGTTCAATCTGAAGATAAATGCAAAAATGTCCTCGGGTGAGGATAAATAAATAAATAAATAAATAAAAATGGGCAAACGGCCTAAATAGACACTTCTCCAAAGAGTACATACAGATGCCACAAAACATAAGAAAAAGTGCTCAAAGCCACTAATCATCAGAGGATGCAAATTAAAATGACTATGAGGTATCTATCATTTTGCACCTGCCAGAATATCTATTATCAACAAATCAACAAACAACAAGTTCTGGTGAGGATGTGGAGAAAAGAACACCCTCATACACTGCCAGTGGGAATGTACATTGGTGCAGCACTGTCAGCAAGAGTATGGAGTTTCCTCAAAAAATAAAAAATCAAACTGCTGTTTGACATTGTGATCCCACTACCAGGCATGTATCCTAAGAACTTTAAAATACTAACCAGAAAGAATATATGCATCCCTATATTCATAGCAGTGTTTTTACAATAGCTAAGATCTGGAAACAGCCTGAGTGTCCCTCAATAGATGAGTGAATAAACAGCTGTGATATATTTATACAATGGAATACTATGCAGCTGTAAAAAAGAAGGATCTTTTAACCTTTGAGACACCATAAAGGGACCTAGAGGGAATTATGCTAAGGTAAATAAGCCTGTCAGAGAAAGACAAGTATTACATGATCTCACTTATATGTGGAAGCTAGTGAACAAATTAACCAATGAAGAAAGTAGGCCCAGAGGCATGGAAGCATGGCACAGACTGATGGATCTCAGAGGAAAGTGGGGGTGGGGAATGGAAAGAATAACCAAACAATTTATATGCATTATATGCATAATCCACAGACACAGACAACAGTGTGGTGAAGGCCTTGGGCTGGGTGGGAACCGGATGAAGGTGGGCAATGGGGGAAAATGTGGGATATCTGTAACAACCTCAACAATAAAAATAAAAAAAATAAAAAAAATAAATATCAGACCAGGTTCCTAGGTACATGCTAACCTGAGACCTTTGTTCTGCGATATTACCAAACTACTTCTCGAGACACAGTGAAATAGAGATGATTGGGATCTAGGGTAGATCCAAACCATGATGGTTGGGCATTTAGTCCTCTGAAATTACCCTAAAACATTTCATTCTGTTCTTGAGTAAGTATAAGCCAGAAAAACATAAAAATAAAAATTTATATCATGATTCCCTATGTTACGAATGAAACATAACAAATTTGGTATTATGGGGGTATACACTGATAATAAAAAATTAGGTATAATCAAAATAAAAAAGCTATGCTACTGGAAGATATCAGTGGGGAGCCTTAAATTATTAGAGTTAAAACATCATACTCTGCATGTAAGAGAAAAACTGATTTGAAGCAAATACCACGATGTACTTTTCTCATGTAGAAAATCATTGCAAATTTAATCAACCCAAGATGAAAATGTGAAGTCTGTGAAGTATGAAAATAAATGTACAAGTCTTTATTACGTATAAAATGGTACAGATGCTAAATTTACAAGATGACAACTTGAATTCTTTTTAGATCAGTTAACTAAATTTTAATTAAATTGTCTGTTTTTCATTGAAATTAAACACCTCCTAAAACAGTCATGAAAATCTAATCTTTAGAAATGTTTTCTACAATAATCAGTTAATTTGGAGGCATTAAGATATGTTTCAAACAGTGGACTTAAAAAACTTCATTTCACCCAAATTGAATCTGAGTATTCTTTTTAGGATTCCATAAAAATACAATTGCTTGAAATTATCCTTATATGAGACTTACAGTATGTTGTTAAACTTTTTTGAAAAGTTCAGTTTTGAATGAAAGATAACAGAACTCACAGTTCTCCAGGGCAGCAAGATTGGAAATGTGGCTCTTGTCAATCTGGTGTTCAGTTGCCACAGAGGAAAATTCAATGTTTCCAACGTTCAACACGGCAGCAAGTATACTGTATACACTTCCAAGTTGCTGAAACACACCACACACATGTTAGCATCACTCTGCCCTTGAGTATGGCAAGTGACTATGGGAAGGGACAGACTGGGGATATTCTTTATTTTTCAGAATAAGAAGGTCATACTGCTGACTACAATTTCAGACTAAGAGACCCAGCTGGCAAGGATCCAAGAAAACCCACCTCATTCACTAATTTTAGAAGTGAGCATAGTGTCTTTTACTTAAAATATTTTATGAATGCAAATATGAACACAAAATAGAAATGAGGAGCTCTCCCTCAGAGCAAGCAGAAATAGCTAAGGCATTAGGCCACAGAGAAATCTATCCATGCAAAACTTCTGACCTCAATATGGTGGTTTCTATCTATGTTCCTTTTCTTTGAGGCCATCTTAAAAGTGAGGTATGTGTGGATATAGGATAACTAAGAAAGAAAATGCAAAAGATCCCAGTACCAAAATGAAAGGATATATGTGGTTTAAGAATAGGTACAAGGCCTTGGCAAATGTGGCTGAGTTGGTTGGAGTGTCGTCCCATATACCAAAAGGTTGAGAGTTTGATTCCTGGTCAGGGCTCATACCTAGGCTTCTGGTTTGATCCCAGGCCGGAGAGCATGCAGGAAGCAACAGGTTGCTGTTTCTCTCTCTCTCTCTCTGTCTCTCTCTCTCTCTTTGTAAACTCAATAAACATATCCTCAGGTGAGAATTAAAATAATATATAAACAGATAGGAGAACTTTGGACTATAGCTGAGCTTATAGTAATTGCTTCTTTAATATAAAGTCCTAAATAAGGTATATCAAAATATATTAAAAAACACATATACATCTGAATGAAAACCAATAAAATGCACCTAAGCCATAAAAAATCCCCAAACACATATACATATAAAATACTTATAAAAACACACATGTAGGACTCTTCTCCAAAGAGGACATAAAGATGGTCAACAGACACATGAAAGGATGCTCAACGTCACTAATCAGAGGCACTGTAGGCATTTTGTCAAGGAGTCTATGATAATTCTAGGGGTCATTCCAACTATGTTCATGGTGCAGTGAGGAACACAAAAGAGAGAAAATTCTTTATTGTTTTCTTATTTGTCTGCATTTATTTTAGGCCACCCCTACACTTAACAAAAACTGATTTTTCTATCTACTCCAACATTCCAAGTCAAGATAAAAGCTGGATATGAAAAATATCTTCAGAAATGTTGATTCATTCATATGTAACATATATGTTAAATGAATATATAAATATATTTGTTGAATGAATCCCCACCAGCACTTGGTGACAGTGTTTTAGAGTTTGGCCATTCTAATAGGTGTGTTGTGGTATTTCATTGTTGTTATAGTTTTTTAGTGTAAAGAATAACATTTTTGCTGCTGGACTTAAAGATCCTAAAGACAAGGATTGGTGTCTGGTTCACAGATCTTAAGTAGATAATGAATATCATGGTGGGGAGGAGGCCAGGGAAAGTAAGATGAATACATCATCTTGTGGCTCTTTATAAAATATAGGGTACATCTGATTTGTAAAACATAATATTCCGAAGTTCCTTTGTTAAGTGATTTTGTTTGAGACATAGAGCATAATGCTGTAAGACAAAGCACCATCCTCCCAGATGCTTTACCAGCCTCAATGTGTGACTAACTCAGAAGGTAGAAAGGAACATTTCCCTAACTGAGCACACTCACGATCTAACTGAAATAGTGCACTTTTGAATAAAAGGTAGAAAATGATACTATCAAATTATATTAAAAAATAAACTAAATATATATTCCCAAACAAATGATATATAATTCAAGAGTAATAATTATTTTTAACATGTTACAATATCAGCCTGAAAACAACCCTGAAAATAAGAATATATCTCATTGAGCTTGAGTTCTGACACTTGAGAAAAAGTAGTTTTTTTAAGGAGAAAATGAGATAGATGGAGACTTTTGTAGAGATTCTGAAGGAGATTCTGTGAACTTTCAAGTGCAGTACTGATTGATGGCTCTGATTCTATTTCATGTCTCATTTAATTAAAAATATTATTTTACTATGGCCTTTGAGCATGGGTGTATAAAAAGAATGCAGAATTCAACTAAAAATGGGCAAAGGACCTGAATAGACACTTCTCCAAAGAGGACATAAAGATGTCCAATAGACATATGAAAGGATGCTCAACATCACTAATCATCAGAGAGATTAAAACTACAATGAGATATCACTTCATGCCTGTCAGAAGGCTGCTACTGGGACAAAAACAGGCATATAGATCAGTGGAACAGAACAGAGAACCCAGAAATTGACCCAAGACATTATGCTCAATTCATATTTGATAAAGGTGGCAAAAGCATACAATGGAGTAAAAACAGTTTCTTTAATAATGGTGTTGGCAAAACTGGACAGCTACATGCAAAAAAATGAAACTGGACCACCAATTTACATCATACACAAGAATAAACTCAAAATGGATAAAAGACTTAAATGTGATTCATGAATCCATAAAAATCCTAGAAGAAAATGTAGGCAACAAAATTTCAGACATCATTCACAGCAGAATTTGCACTGATACAATGCCTAAAGCAAGAGAAACAAAGGAAAAAAATTAATAAATGGGACTACATCAAACTAAAAAGCTTCTGCACATCAAAAGAAACAACCATCAAAATGGAAAGGGAACTCACTATATGGGAGAGCATACTTGCCAATGATATATCAGATAGGGGTTAATTTCCAAAATATAGAGTACTCATACAAGTCAACAAAAGGAAGACAAAAATCCAATTAAAAATGGGCAGAGGACCTAAAGAGACACCTCTCCAAACAGGACATACAAATGGCCAAGAGACATATGAAGAAATGCTCAATGTCACTAGTCATCAGAAAGGTGCAAATTAAAATGACTATGAGGTACCACCTCATACCTGCCAGAATGGCTGCCATCAACAAATCATCAAACAACAAGTGCTGGTGAGGGTGTGGAGAAAAGGGGACTCTAGTACACTGCTGGTGGGAATGCAGACTGGGGCAGCCACTATGGAAAACAATATGGTGTTTCCTCAAAAACGTAAAAATTGAACTTCCATTTGACCCAGTGATCTCACTTCTAGGAATATATCTTATGTAGCCTGAAACACCAATCAGAAAGAATATATGTACCCCTCTGTTCAGAGCAGCACCAAAAAATTAAAAACACAGCTGCTCATGACCAAGCAATTCTACTTCTGGGAATACAATTCTTTCTTCTGGGAAGAAACCTGAAATACTAATTTGAAAGATTATACGCACTCCTATGTTCAGTGTAGCGTTATTTATAAAAGCCAAGAGCTGAAACAGCCCAAGTGTACATCAGTAGATAAGTGGATAAAAAAAGCTGTGGCACCTTTATACAATGTAATACTACTTGGCTGTAAAAGAAAATGAAATCTTACCTTTGGTGACAGCATGGATGGACCTGATGATGATTATTATACTAAGTGAAATGGGCCAGATAGAGACAAATACCATATTCCACTCACTTGTAAATGGAATCTAATGAACAAAATAAACTGATGAACAAAATAGAACCTGAGGCATGGATACATGGAACAGACCGACAGCTGTCAAAGGGGAGGACAGTTGGGGAGCTGGGTGAAAGAAGCTAAAGGGATTAAGCAAATATATAGATATATATGTTAGGTTAACAAACTGAATAAAAAGATGTGTAAAGTGAATGAGAAGTCAAGCCACATACTAGAAGAGAGTATTTGCAAAAGACACATCTGATAAAAGAGTATTATTCAAAATACACACACACACACACAAAATTTAAAACTCAACAATAGAAATCCAATTAAAAATAGGTCAAAGACCTTAGCAGACACCTCATCAAAGAAGATATGTAGATGGAAAATAAGCATCTGAAGATATTCTATGTCACATGTAGTTAGGGAAATACTAATTAAAAGTACAATGAGATATTATTACACACTTATATGAACAGACAAAATCCCAAACACTGATAACACCAAATGCTGGTAAGAATATGGAGCAATGGGAAATCTCACTCATTGCTGGTGGGAACGTACACGGGTACAGCCACAATGTAGACAGTTTGGTGGTTTCTTACAAAACTGAACATACTTTTATCATATGATCCAGCAACCAAGGCCCTTGGTATTTACCCAAGGGAGTTAAAACTTATGTCTCCATAAGCATCTGTGGATAGATGTTTATAGCAGCTTTATTCATAATTGTCAAAACGTGAAGCACCCGAAATGTCCTTCAGGAGGTCAGCGGATAAATTGGTAGATCCAGACAACGAAATATTATTCAGCACTAAAAAGAGATGAGCTATCAAGCCATGAAAAGACACAGAGGAACCTCAGATACATTTTACAGAGTAAAAGAAGCCAACATGAAAAGGCTGCATGCTGTATGATTCCAACTACATGATAATTCTGGAAAGGGTAAAACATTTTACTGGAGACAGTAAAAAAGATCAGTGGGTGCCAGTGGTAAGAGAGGCGGGATAAATAGAGGGCACAGAGGACTTTTAAAGCACTGAAACTGTATGATACAACTGTGCAATCTTGTCATTATACTTTTGACCAAAGTGAAAGAAAGTACAACACTGAGAGAGAACCAATGTAAACTATGGACTTTGGATGACAATGACGGGTCAGTGTAGGTTTATTTATCGTAAGGGACTCTGCCTGTGTGGCACAGGGGGTGTAAGGGAACTCTCTGTTCTTTCCTTTCAATTTCGCTGTGAACCTACAACTGCTCTTAAAAAAACAAAATCTTAAAAAAAAAGTGTAAGCCGAACTTAAAAGCTTAAGAAAAATCTAGGTACTTGGTTTCAAAAACATCAATATATTGAAATAATTATTAAAAATCGGCTTCTTTGAACATAAAAAAACAAACAGGTGAAATGACCACTCTTAGGGTCAGGGTCCCATCTAGACTTACAAACACGAACAAGGAATGTACAGCTCAGCCTCTGGTATTGGCTCCTTCTAAGGAGTCTCTGCTCTGATCCTGC